GACTTCAACACTCTAATGGCAAGAACGGCACCAGCAAGCCAGCCTTCAAGACCGCAACCACCTACCTCGTCTGCTACAACACCCTCTCCCTCGTCCTTTGGGCCATCATAACAGTACGACTAATATTCTTCCTCGCCCTCCTCGTGCCCACCGGTCATGTCGCGCATATATTCGATGCTCTCTTCCCCCTCCTCCGCTTCACCCAGACGCTTGCCCTGCTGGAAATATTTCACGCGCTCGTAAAGCTCGTGCGTGCATCCCCCATCACGACGGCAATGCAGGTGGCCAGCCGTATCCTGGTGGTTTGGTTTGTTATGTTTCCCTTCTCGGTCGATATGATTGGGAAAGAGAAGGGAGTTGTGGGCGCCAGGGGTAAGGCCCCCGAGTGGAGATTGGGCGATTGGATGGTGGTTGGCTGCGCGAGCGCTTGGGGGATTACAGAGTGTATTCGATATGGATATTTTGTGGTGCAGTGTTTGGGTTCTGCAGTACCTCGATGGTTGATTTGGTTGAGGTATGTTCTTTTGTCCTTCCACTCCGTCTAAATCAGCGGGCTAGTCTGCGGTTTTATTGTGACTGCGGCTGGAGTTCGTGGATGTGCTTAGATATCATCTAAATTTGCTTATTCATGATCTGACTGGGGGCTAACTCGATGGCCTCACTAGATACAATACCTTTTTCGTTCTCTATCCCATTGGTATTTCGAGTGAATGTACATTGATTTACAAAGCCATTGCACCGGCGTGGGATATTCAGCCTGTGGTTGCATGGTTTTTCATATCGATGCTAGTCATCTACCCGCCATGTAAGTTTCAGTCGGTTTTCCGACTATTTTCACCTTAAAGTTTGTACGATAGTTTGTTAACCCCCTTTTCTTCATCGTATAGGCTCCTTCATTCTCTATACCCATATGATGTCACAAAGAAGAAAGGTGATGGAACTCAGGAAGGCTGATTGAAACTGAAACCGAATTAGATGATGTTATTGGCGTATAAAGGGTTGAAATATTTTTAATAATGCGATTTACCTGGAGCTGATCCGTGATTTACGTTCAGATATATAATTAATAGAAGCTACTTAAACCCCGTTTCTGGCATTGTTGATTTAGTACTACCATAAGCCTTTAAATATCCTTCATGATATCATTGATTGCCTTAACCGCAAACGCCCTACGCTCTGCTTCAGGTAATTCAGCAGCCATATCTATGGATATGTTAGTAGACAGATCCGCAGAGAAGGAAATTCGAAACGCCACATTTCCACTTTCAATATACGGAATGTGAATCTCCTCACCCTTAATAGCCTTCATTCTCAACATTAGTCCATCAATCTTTTCAACATGGAGTTCATCCTCCTCATCGTGGCTTTTTAGGTCTGGTTCGCCAGCACCAGTTTCATCAGCCCCTTTTTCAATTGCCAGTTTAAGACCGAGCATTTCACGCTCGAGCTCACTAGCTTCGTTATCGAAACCAAAATCTTCATCAGAGTCGAGAAGAAAATCAGTTGAAAGATCCCCCTGGCGAATTGAGGCCCACTCATTCGTCTGCAGGACTTCTTTTACCCGTGCCATACCTTGGAATTCTGCGGGGATTGGGAATTTAGCAAGGTAATAAATCAGGTTAAAACTGCGGAAAGCAAGAGGCTAGGAGCGAGGAGAACTGCACACACAAAATGCAACGCAGGTAGACCATGAGAGAAAGATACCGACCTCCATAAACATTCCTCTTATCCTCCTTTAATTCCGCCTTGGGGTCCCACGCCACAACCTCCAGTTCGAAATGTCCCATCTCAGTTAATTCGTCCTCCCACCAGCTAGTACTAAACTCAACGGCGTGTCCCAGTTTAAGATTATCACCGCTGTCCGCCGGCCCTTCCGACCCAATTCCCTTCCGCTTCATATTCCCCTCCGATCCCTTGCTTCCTTCATCCGTCCCCACCAATACAACCAATCCCGGAACTTCTCCAACCCCGCCACGCTCCTCTTCAATTCGATTCCTAACCTCCGCAACTGCACTTAAAAGCTCCTTTATCCCTTGCGCAATCCTCTTTCTATGTTCTCTGTCCCGTATAATTTCTGGGGTTTCACTGGGAACTAACTCGTACGATGCCACGGCCGGTCTCTCTATGCAGATGACAACAGCACCAATGACATCTCGCACCTCCTGAGCTTCATCGGAAAGGAATTCAGATCTCCAAGCCGCGAGGCCGTGGGGTTGTGGTAACTTCGAATCAGCGTCTCTGGAGCTAGATGCGTCTGGATGGGATTGCGGTAATGAGTCTGGCGACGTCCTGGTATTATAATGGAACGGAAGTTCATCGACCCATATAGGTATATCTGCCGTGTAGTATTTCGTCTCTATTCGTAGTGGAGAATGTGTAGTGTATCCAGCAAATGTGGATGTTAGGTCCTTGTTGTCGGTGCTGTCCGCCGTGACAGGGTCTAATTAAAGCCACGGGTGAGCAAGAACGTTTAATACTTGACGCTAAAAGCACGTAGACAGAAGGATACATATCACATTTTCATAACTCACCTTGTTTTTCTCCTGATTGAGTGGTGTTTGAAGCTTGCGGCGCATTGGTGACCGGAACTCCAGTTAGGCTATGCAAAAAAGGAGGGACGATGGTGTGAGATTGTGACGCCGGGGTTAAGATTAGGAGACGACGTGGGTTTGAGATCCGTGGAGCGGGTTTTGCACTGTTTAGGGTTTCATCTTTCTGTGGTCGTGGAGACTGCATGGCGAGGATGGGCTTTGAGGGGATACTAATATGTAGCAGTGAAACTTTGGCGAGAAGAGTTAGGATTTGCGGGGAGCAGCGGGGCAGGAGTGAGATGGTAGTATTACATGTCCCTAGGGGCATATGGGATTCTACCCTCAGACTATAATAACTGATGTTGAAATAGGTCAGATTGACTTATTGGGTACTATGTATATAGAAGAGTGGATTCCTCTAAATACTAATGGCAGGGCTGAAGTCCTACCACCGAAAGACAAGCAATGTTC